CCAAGTGAAATCCCCTGTCAAAGAATAATTGCTGGAGTTAATAGGGCCAATTTTCATGAAATGAACAAAGCAAATTGGACCCGAACAAAATGTGTTAAGCCATCCTTGCTGACATGCTTGATAAAATATTCTTAATGTTAGGTAGTCTGTTTCCCTGACTTGCCTCCCACAATCAGCCTATTTATTAATTAATTATTGCAAAATGTTTTTGTATTCTGGTATAAAACCAGACAATAACTAACTCCTACACACAGCAAGAATTAGTAATGAAGGATGTGTACTACATTACTATGTTTTGCTTTCCTCCAACTAAACAGGATGCATTCCAAAAGATATGTGAACCCCTTTTATGATAGGATGTATTAATAGTGGATATTTGCACAAACACCCAAGTGAAAAACCCAGTTAGGAGGAAAGAATTGAGCAGCTGTGAATATATTAAGTAATATTAGGACATTAGCAGAGTGCTTGTGTTTATAGGAGATGGTGGGATCCAACTGCAGAATGGGCCACCAGTGAGTTAGTTATGCAAGCCTAGAATAAAATGACAGTAAGGAGTTTTAAGATTTCAAGACAACTTGGGCTGCTAGCATCACAAGATACACTGAGAAATTTTGGTTTTTTTAAAAAAAATGTTTAAAGGTTTCTGGAGGAAATAAAGCTTAACTATACTTATGTTTTAGATAAAATGGATGTTATCATAAGGATCAGGAAACAGACAGCCTTTTCAATGAAAACTGCTATTGATAGGCTGCTTCTAGAAGAACACAAGTCATTACTGTCTCCTATTATCTGAAGCAGCTAATAATATGAAGCTTTCTTACATGACAACAGTGAATCCAATACTCATATAGTAAGATGGGTAGGGACAAGAGATAGTATTTTTTGAGTAATTTCTAATCCCTGTTCCTTTGTCCATGAAGTAGGAACTCTCTCTGATGACTGTGAGGAAACTAAAAATGCTTTGGGTTGCTGAGAGTTTTCTAGGCTGTATGGCCATGTTCCAGAAGCACTCTCTCCTGACATGTCACCCACATCTATGGCAGGCATCCTCAGAGGATGTGGGGTCTGTTGGAAAGTGGGGTTTATATATTGGTGGAATGTCCAGGTGGGGGAAAGAACTCTTCTCTGTTTGAGACAAGTGCAAATGTTGCAGTTGATCATCTTGATTAGCATTGAATAACCTTGCAGTTTCAAGGCTTGGCTGTTTCCTACCTGGAATGCTTTCTTGCACATTAACTCTCTCTTTTATCTTGTAATGGAGTTTGGTAAGTGTTGTTGAATTAAATCTGCTAACTGCTTTCATCTATGAATTATGCAGGGAGATTTTTTAAGCTGTTCTTCACTGTCTAAAGAAGTTTTGTGACTGAGTATTATACATGCAGTTTTGAATAAAAATACTATTACTATTTGAATAACTCAGAGAAACTCTTATTTTTACGCATACTCTTCAACATCTTTCTGACATTACTGTTGCATTTTCTGAGCTGCATCCCTGGGCTTGCCAGAATGGTTCAGCAAAAACATAACTTATTTGTTTTATTTGACATCAAGAGGCAAATTCTTTTGTTCTGAGATCACACTAGTCTTATATAGGCACTTTAAAATTGCTGATTCTACATTGCTTTAAGTTTAAGGCTGGTTCTGTGGCAATCCTGGATTCTCATTTGGAACCACCTTTACAAGCCCTGCTTCCCACTGAAAGGATGAAACATACCGGTAACGTCTCATCAATAACAGAGTTGTGTTCTGGATGATAGAAAAAGTGGCCCAAAGGCTGGTGCACCAAAAGTTAGCGAGTTTACTTTACTAATGCATAAATCAAGCCAAGCCTCCATCATGAAGAGAGTAAAATGTGATACCTTTCTGATAGCATCAGTAACCTAAACTAAATCCCGCTTCAGTAGTACAAATAAATCTCAACCACTGTCTACCTCACACAGATGCAGGGAAGTGAAGCTACTCCTCTATTCTGCTTTGGTCAGACCACACGTGGAAAACTGTGTCCAATTCTGGGCACTGCAATTGAAGGGAGATGTTGACAAGCTGGAAGGTGTCCAGAGGAGGGTGACTAAAATGATCAAAACTCTGGAGAACAAGCCCTATGAGAAGCAGCTTAAAGAACTGGGCATGTTTAGCCTGCAGAAGAGAAGGCTGAGAGAAGACATGATGACCATGTATAAATATGTGAGGGGAAGTCATAGGGAGGAGGGAGCAAGCTTGTTTTCTGTTGCCCAGGAGACTGGGACGCAGAACAATGGCTTCAAACTACAGGAAAGGAGATTCCATCTGAACATTATGAAGGACTTCCTGACTGTGAGAGCTGTTCAGCAGTGGAATTCTTTGCACCGGAGTGTGGTGGAGGCTCCTTCTTTGGGGGCTTTTAAACAGAGGCTGGGTGTTTTGAATGCAATTTTCCAGCAGGGGGTTGGACTAGATGTCCCACGAGGTCTCTTCCAACTCTATGATTCTATGGTAATTAAAACCAGTATTACCTACACACAGGATGGATATAGGCAACTGGTTCTTACTTTTTAAAGAAGTAAGTTGCCTGCAAATTATTTGAAAAAATACTGTAAAAATTCTTAATGATTCCAATAATATATTTTCTTTGGTTCTGTGCCTGGTGTGTTTAATCTTCCAAGCTCTAAAGTCATTTTTACATTAAGCGATATAGTACTTGATGAAACAAGAACAAATGTTACCTTCCTGATAGCATCAATAACCTAATCTAAATCCAACATTACTAGTACAAGTAAATCTCAACCATTGTCTACCTCAAACACTTTGCTCAATACAAATTGATTAAAAATGTAAAAGTGGACAATATACACGAGAAGTTATAAAAAGTTGGAAACTGATGAAAATTTATACATTTCAAATTTCAAATCAATCCAGCTCTCTAGAATTTGTCTTTTTCGGTATCTCTTTCTTTCTGTCTCTTGTCAATCTCCAGGTATCAGAAGATGTGAATAATTTAAAAAATCAGCTTAATGATTAACAGATCAAATCTACTTCTAAAATTGGTTTTAAATCTTCCAGCACTTACAACAACTGCAATAAAAAGTTGTCAGGGAATTGTGGCACAAGATATAATTTAGATCAACCTGTTAAAAAGTAATTACAGACACTTCCACTTAGTCTGAAAGAATTTTGATTTCTTCCTTGACCGACCAAACTAAAGAACTTGTTTCCATAGAAACTTGGGGGGGGGGGGATGGGACTGAGTAGAGAATTGTTAGAAAATAAATCCGTACAGCTGCTTCTTGTATATGTATTTACAGGACAAATTATAGTACGTAAAACAAAATGGGATGCTTTTGTTTGCAAACCAATGCTACAGTTTAATTACACTGTACAATTATGAATGAATGGTATCTTCACAATTACCATTACATGTCACACTCACATAAGAAACAGCCAGATTAAATAGGTATTTCTGAGCAAGGCAGCTCTTGCTGAGATCTACAGAATTTTCTTTAGAGGAGTGGGCGCGAAATTATTTTTATTTGTTTTAATGTTAAAGTTAAACCTAGTAATTTTGCATGTTTCAATGGTCATGAAGTGGTGGCATTGAACTTCAAGAGAGACCGGGATTCAAAATCAGATTTAGGGCAAGGCATCCCCTCTGACTTGACTTTCAATTGAAAGCATTATATCACAGCGATGGTGAGAAGCACTTTGGAAGGAGGTACATCTTTCAATTATTCAGCACTGCTATTTAAATTGTGAAGTGGCAGATATGAAAAATCAGTAAAACTGAGTACAAGTAAAACAGAAAATGGAAAACAGAAAATTTGGGGTTCTTTTTAAAAGCATTAATAAGGCTTCAAACAGAATTAAAGGGCATTTCATGACTCACCTGAAAAGAAAAAAAATAAGATTGATTATTTTAACTTGTTAAACATTTCATCTACTGAACAGCTTTTTAATTTAATGCCATCCATCCTTTGGCATTCTGTTGCATGCAATTATTTGCAAAAAGTCCCATGAGGACAGTGATGTAAAAGTAAAAAGGACAGATTCTACAAAACCTTATCACCTTCCAAGTGTTGTCCTACTATTTATTTAAAAAAGTATTTATTTATTTATCATGTCAGGAGCGAACCAAACAGTTGTATTGCATTAAAAACAAATGAACAAACAAACAAACAAAAACAAAGTTTGCAAACTTGGCATTCTATTAATGTGAAAAAGATAATCGCTGAGAGTATTGTATTGCCAAAACTGGTAAACCCAACAATTCCTACATAAAAGTTGAGTGCAGTACAAATTTAAAGAAAACAAGGTGCAAACATTGCAGCAGAATGGAAAAATCCACAAAATATAAAAGAACAGTGCACTTTTATGGAAAGAGCATGAAAATTTGGCACAGACCTTGCTTGATATTTGGATACTAGGCTATCATTCATTTGGCTCCTGAAAATAATGGTAGCAATTTCTCAAAATGTCAGCCATGCATTGTCAGAGAAAAAGAGGCTTCACCTATTTGTTGCATATTATATGCTGATTTCCAGAATTCTACTTGTAATTATTATCAATCCCAATATTTTTATCAACATTTTGCCCAACAAAGCCTGCACATTTATATAGTTGAATACTTGATATATTCAGCTATATATTAATTCTACTTGGCAGAACTTAGATACTAGTTCTCTTTGGCATTTGTTTAAATTAATACACCTTATGTTTCAAACTAAACATTGTTGCAGTAATGCAAATAACATTTGTATCCATGGATCATTTGTTCATCCTTGTATAAGCACAAAACTAAAATGAAACAACACAGAAGCATCTCTGTCTGGTTTCATCAATTTTGAAATATATTTTCTTTTAATATCTGTTGGTTAAACCAGTTTTAATTAAAACTAAAGAGAAAAGCAGAGTCCTTGTCCAAGCTTGAGCTTATTGTTATAATAAAAGACACATCTTTTCTGAAATTGTGAAAAAAACACATATATACACAGTTCTTCTTTTCTTTTCTTTTTTTTGTAATTCCATTGCTTCTCGGTGTCCTACTTGTGACTGTAGGATTGCACATCTCTGCAGATCTTAGCTGCTTAAGGCCAAGTTGTCCATAATGCTAGAGAGTCTTTAGTACAACTTGATGTAGTCTGTGCTGAAAGCTGTAGTCTCATGGGATTATCTGTTCTTACACATGGGGTCCTTGGTAGACGGTCCTTTTACATGTTTCTCTAAATATGAATTCATAGGTGTTATAAGTATGCCTTTGTGGGTGAACTGAGTGCCTATTATTCTGTGCAAACAGTTTCTTTTTTGCTTCATCTGTGTTAGTATTGATGCTTGGTTAGTCACACAAAAGGGCCACAAATCTTTCAGTGCGACAGAAAACATCTGCAATAAAGCTTCATGCTGAAAATATCTTCAATAATGTATCCATCTCTTGCAAAACTTGGCAGAGTGTGAATAGTGTCTGAACCTTCGCTTGTCTTAAACCAGCTCTCAGTCCATGAGCTGCTGCTAACTACCAGAGGTACCTTTCAGTTTCAAATGCTGACTGTAGCTCATTCCTTGGCTGCAATCCCTGTGGAAAGGATACAGACAGTAACACAATGTCTGTATCAATCATCTGAATGAAGATGTTATTGTGCTCATGCTGCACAGATGCAGTGCATGCAGAATCTGCTTCTTCGTGAGTGCAAGAGATGCTAGATTCTCTGGTGTTTGTGAACTCATGCAGAGGAGTCTACAGAGTGCAACAGAGCTCTTAGCATTAGGTATCAACTAATAATGACAAAAATAATAATGACAAAAATCAAATAATAATGACAAAAAAGGCACCTCATCTTAAAGATGAGGCTGTGTTTGGTGGCCGTTTTGAAAATAGCTACCTTGGTCATCAGAGGGTAAATTAAACTGTGCCACAGTAACCTTTATGAAAATAAATAGCTTTGTCTGTACCAAATTTCATGCATTTATCACAAGTGCACCACAAAGCTAATCCGTCATACTAAGGCTTTCTGAAATGACACTTTTTATACATTCCTCTTTCAGAATCATTCCACAACACTTTCTGGAACAAAAAAAATGGATCAGAATTAGTCATATAAGCAATGCATTGAAGTTACAGGTTGTCCACGTCCACAATGTGTTCCAGATTAACTATTCCATGCAGTTATTGTTACTTTGTCCAAATTTCGATAACCTTACCTTTGAGATACTTTATTATATATCTATCTCAATTGTCCCTTTGTAAAGCTTTAGACAGTTTCCTAAACATTTCCAGTTGTACCCATGCATGCAATAAAGCACATCTGCTTAGTTTAAATGATACTGCACATCCTGCTCCAAATCTATTGAGCCCATGACTTTTTATGAGTAAAACAGTAAATTAAATACTTTTTTCTGTTTACTGATCCATAGCTATTACACTAAAAAGCTCATCCTCAAAAATGTCAGCCATAATCACATGCCAATAAAACATTATAGATACTGAAGTTTTTGAAGGCTACCGCATAAACACATATTCTGCATATTTATGATATTAAAATATAACAAGAAGTACTATTATCCATAGTGGTGAACCTGACACATTTTCTTTTAGAGTCCTTTAATATTAAATCCCTTCCAAGGTGCAGCATGCAAGAACGGATTAAATTGAAACTGTCATTATGTTACAAAACATAAACCAAAGCATTAAAAAAATACATGTCTGATACTTTTGTTGTGAAATTTCAATTAAGAACAAAAAAGACTAAACAAATAACACAACTGCTTATCACAATTCTATTCTCTGACACTGTACACAGGAAATAAAATTACAGTTTTATTAAGCAAATTACCTCGAGAACAGGAAAATCAAATGAGATTAAATGAGGCAATGAATTTACCTACAAGGTTAGGGACCGGTAATTGACTATTTCCTCTCAAATCATTTATTATGTAAAGCACAGCAATGCAGAAGCAAGGATGAATTTATTTGTATTGTTGAAGGCTTTCATGGCTGGAATCACTAGGTTCTTGTGGGTTTTTTTGGGCTATAGAGCCATGTTCTAGAGGTATTTCTCCTGACGTTTCGCCTGCATCTATGGCAAGCATCCTCAGAGGTGAGGTCTGTTGGAAGTAGGAAAATGGGTTTATATATCTGTGGAATGGCTGGGGTGGGGCAAGGAGCTCTTCCCTGCTGCAGTTAGGTGTGAATGTTTAGCTGATCACCTTCATTAGCATTTGAAGGCCTGCCTGAGTCCTGGGAAAATCTGTTGCTGGGAGGTGTTAATCTGTGCCTGGTTTTTTCCTCTCTGTTGTTTACTGTTATAATTTTAGAGTTTTTTAATACTGGTAGCCAGATTTTGTTCATTTTCATGGTCTCTTCCTTTCTGTTGAAATTGTCCACATGCTTGTGGATTTCAATGGCTTCTCTGTGTAGTCTGACATGGTGGTTGTTGGTGTGGTCCAGCATTTCTGTGTTCTCAATAATATGCTGTGTCCAGGCTGGTTCATCAGGTGCTCTGCTATGGCTGACTTCTCTGGTTGAAGTAGTCAGACACCATGGCACTCATCAACCAGAGGTTCCCAGAAGACATCACGGCGCTGTTTCACCATTGCCTCACCACCAGCTATTTTCAGTGGGACAATGAATTCTATGAACAGAAAGATGGAGTAGCTATGGGGAGCCCTCTCAGCCCAGTCATAGCTAACTTCTACATGGAACACTTTGAAGAACAAGCCCTGGAAACAGCAACCAAAAAGCCCACGATATGGTTCAGATATGTGGATGACACCTTCACCATTTGGAGCCATGGAGAAGAAGAACTCAACAGGTTCCTGGACCATTTTAACAGCATCCACCCAAACATCCAGTTCACCATGGAAAAAGAAAATGAAGGAAGACTGCCTTTTCTAGATGTCCTAGTCATCCGCAAACCAGATCAACAATTGGGTCACACCGTCTACAGAAAACCCACACACACAGATAGATATCTACATAAAAACTCCAACCATCACCCAAGTCAAAAAAGAAGCACCATTAAAGCCTTGGCAGACCGTGCAAAAAGAATCTGCGAACCCCACCTCCTCCAAGATGAACTGAACCACCTCAACTGGGCTCTCCAGGCCAATGGATACTCCACCTCAGACATCAGAAGAGCTGCGAGACCAAGAACAAGCCACGAGAGTCAAGATGAAGATCCACCCAGAGGAAAAGTGTTCCTGCCATACATCAAGGGAACCACTGACCGCATAGGGAAGCTGATGAGGAAACACAACATACAAACAATCTACAAACCCACCAAGCATGTGGAAAATTTCAACAGAAAGGAAGAGACCATGAAAATGAACAAAATCTGGCTACCAGTATTAAAAAACTCTAAAATTATAACAGCTAAACAACAGAGAGAAAAAACCAGGCACAGATTAACACCTCCCAGCAACAGATTTTCCCAGCTCAGGCAGGCCTTCAAATGCTAATGAAGGTGATCAGCTAAACATTCACACCTAACTGCAGCAGGGAAGAGCTCCTTGCCCCACCCCAGCCATTCCACAGATATATAAACCCATTTTTCCTACTTCCAACAGACCTTCTCAACCTCTGAGGATGCTTGCCATAGATGCAGGCGAAACGTCAGGAGAAATGCCTCTAGAACATGGCTCTATAGCCCGAAAAAACCCACAAGAACCTAATGAATTTATTTGCTAGTTAGCATAAAGAACAACAGCTTCAATTCTATCATAATATATCTAAAGATAATCAGGGTACTACTGATGAAATCAAACATTCAAATGTGTGTATGTGTAAAATGCCCATGATATAAATATTGCACATACCCTGGTCTAAAACCTCCTCCTCTTCTCTTTTAGGCTGCTGCATTATTAAACCTGTATCTCCATTTCTGCTTTCTGAAAAAGAAAGTGGATGAAATCTAATTTTAGATTGGCAAGAAATTCATACACCTGTGCACAATGGTATCTAAAATGATTTTCAATGTGTTGAATATAGGCGCAGGTATATAAAACGGTGGAAGCAAACTTCTCCTGTCCTTTATTCCCATGCCAACCCTCTTCCCATGCTACATAGAAGAAAATGCTGTTTTCAGGAATCTGCCCATGGCCACACCATACCTTGCTCCACTCCAAAATCACATAACTGCTGCGCCAAAATTTGGCACCAAACCAATGAGCTGGTCTACTATAACACCCATTTATTTTCTGCAATCTAAAGACAAAATATAGTAAAATTCACAATAATTTGTAACTCAGTTCACACATGGTTATTTTTGTGGGAAACTAAGGGATCATCATATTTAAAATGAATGTCTCTACTTCCTTGCAAAAACTTTTTAAAATAAACAATTGTATCAGCAAAGAGGGTTTTTTTTTTTACCTTCATGATGTCCATGGCCCATCAAGGCCATATCAGGCTTGACTGGAATTGGAATATTTGCCTCTTGTGGTATATTTTTGAACATCTCCGGATTTATGTTCTGTGTGCAGGTCATGTACGAGACTGCATGTTTGGCTTCCATGTAATACATAATGTAGAAATTGCACATTTCATCACTAGCTGTGCCTCTAAAGTGAAATCCAATAAAGAGAGCAGAGACATACAAACAATTATGATTAGCATTAGTTTTAGATATAGATTAAAGATACTTAGCGAGATTGTCATAAAGTGAAAGTAGGAGACCACAATCCTATTTCAAATGATAAAAGGTTAGACAGCAGTGCTTTTTGAGCGTACCACATTAAAAATGCATAAGACTCTTGGAATAAAAAGGCCATTATCTTCAGCTGTTTGCATAGCATTTACTTTATGGAACACCAGTCTCCATGGTTTTCATTAACAATATTAGAAATTCTAAAAAATGCTTTGCAACTGAACCAGCAATAACAAACTATTCCCTTCATTGCAAACTCTCTAGTTACCATCCAATTTTTCATGCATACGCAGTACATTAACTATTTATTTACTATATTTCTATCCTGCTCTTTTCACCCCAAAAGGGACTCAGAGTGGCTTACTCTGAGTCCCTTTCTCAGAGCTATAATGTTGTCCCACTGAATTTCACTTTATAAGATATCGTATGGGAAATAAAATAAATTAAGGTATCAGTTAAGCTGGAAGTTTTCTATTGATTTTTTTTTGGCCATTTTCAATAAAAACTTTCAGCTCAATAAAATTTAATAATAACTTAAGATTTATGTTGGAATTTCTGCATCAGCTTAACTTCATAATCAAGACAGTAATTAGTGAATAGAGACACAAATTTTACCATTCATTACTAAAAACCTAAATATCTTAGTTCCTAGTACTCTAGTTCCTAGTTCTTAGTTCCTAGTTCTTAGTTCCTAGTACTCTAGTTCTCTTGGGTTCTCAGAGAAAAGAAAACAGAATGTTTAGGTCTCCAAATCAAAGTACGTAAGACAACTTGAAATGGAGTAGACTTCCCTGCATCTTGATTATTCTCTTGAGTTCCATACCAGACTGTATAGGGAAGCTCTTTATCTAGGAAACTGTATTCTGAAACTTTTACCCCTGAAGCTTTTGTTGGGATCCGCAAAAAAAATCAAAAAAAAAAAAATCAATGAGCTAATGAAAGGTTATACTAAGGAAATTAGTTTATAAGGGAGGGAGAAAGTGAAGGTATTTGATGAACTAAACGGAAAATGGGTTTTCAAAAATTCCTACATTTTTCTCCTTCTCTTTCAAATTCAAACATGGACAATTTGAGAACAGGAAAATAATGGATGGCATCCTTCAGCTCCCTTATGGTAAGGTTTTTAATGCAAGGGCTTAAATGAAATAGGTAATTTAACATAAATGTAATACAGTAGAGTCTTGATTATCCAACATAAACGGACTGGCAGAATGTTACATAAGCAAAAATGTTGGATAATAAAGAGGGATTAACGAAAAGCCTATTAAATGTCAAATTATGTTATGATTTTACAAATTAAGCACCAAAACATCATGTTTTACAATAAATTGACAGATAACGCAGTTCAATACATGGTAACGTTATGTAGTAATTACTGTATTTACGAATTTAGCACCAAAACATTGCAATGTATTGAAGACATTGACTATAGCAACGCACTGTTTGTTTTTCTAGGCAGCAATGTGCAGCAGGCCTCCATGCATTTGGGCACCTGCCAGGTGGGGCAAGATGCAGCAGTGCAGGCCGGATGCTGTGCCCAATGGGAAAAGTGCATCGGCTGCATCTTGCCCCTCCCAGCAGGCGGCTGGCACATGGAGAGACCCGCTATGTGGTGCTGTCTAGAGAAACAGCTGTGGATCCGGGAGGGAGGAAGACTGGATAATACAGAACGTTGGATGAGT